AACGAAATGCTAAACCCTAAACGCTAAACCCTAAAGTGCATGAAACGGGTAAACATGGTATAACCCTAAACCCTAAACCCTAAACCCTAAATCACAGGGCCTATTTGGCTTAGGAAGCTGGAACTCTGAGGCAAAAAGCCTTCGCGATCTCTCAACCCTAAACCCTAAACCCTAGACCCTAAACCCTAAACTACCCACAAGCTCAAACAACTCTGCCGAAACCCTATGCGCTACAAACCAACTCTGAACCCACAAAATGTGCTCCCCCTGCCGAAGCTCTGAAACCCTCAGCCCGACACTACCCTAAACCCTAAACCCTAAACCCTAAACCCTAAACCCTAAACCCTACAACTGCTGGTCCAGCAGGGTGGGGAGCGCGCTCTCCGAGGACGACGTTGCAATCACCTCGGAGAAGGGGCGCGGGAGATCGAGGGGGGGAAGAACTCTAAACCCTGTTTAGGGTTTAGGGTTTAGGGTTTAGGGTTTCGGGTTTAGGCAAAAGGGTTTGGGGTTAAGGGTTTAGGGTGGGCCCGTATACCCCAATAGTAAGATCCTTTTGTGTTTATTCGGTTTTTGGGCCCCCTTAAGGAGGACTGTGCTTCATGGTCGTTGGGCTTTTGGTTTTGGCTGAGCTCTGCAAGCCGCGCCCTGAGGGATTCGCATGTTTGACGGCGTGTCTACGTCCATGCTGCCTGGGTAGGGTTTAGGGTTGGTTTCCAGGCGTTCCATGCACAATCATTGCTCTACTACACCTGCTAGATAGAAGGCCAGGCAGAACCACCGAATTGGCAAGTTAACGAAGTGGGAACTGGCGACTGTCTTAGGAGCAAGACCCTAACGACCCAAACCCCCAGGCCCAAACCTCTAAACCATCCACAGGGGGATGTTGGGGAGAAGGTGAGTGTAACGGGCCTGTCTTTTGTCCCAAGGAATGCTGTTTGCTTAGAGCTTGAAGGCCCATGGGTAGTTACAGGCAGGGTTTTAAGTACCCTACATAAGGCGACAACCACTCATATCATTTTTTCTTCTACCCTACTTATAACCCCTGCTTATAATTACCCGTGAACCTCCAAGTAGGGTTTAAGGTGTGGGGATACACAGGCATAGTGATGAAGCCGCGAAACCCTGGCGTGATGTTGAGGGTAGCAGGCTACCACCCTAAACCCTAAACCCTAAACCCTAAACCCTAAACCCTAAACCCTAAACCCTAAACCCTAAACCCTGTTAGCTCCCGCATCTCCTCTCCCCTGCCGGGATGCAAGGAGCAGCTCGTCCTTGAGATACCAGAGGAACCTTGTGAAACGACCGACACCGGATCCCTTCTTACAGCCTGGCTTGTAGGATTTAGGGTTTAGGGTTTAGGGTTTAGGGTTTAGGGTTTAGGGTTTAGGGTTTAGGGTTTAGGGGAGTTAGGACTCTTCTGCAACTCCTGAACCCGAAGCCCTAACTCACAAAATGATTGGCCATCAAGTCTCTACTGAAGACAGGGGTCTCTTCCAGCAGGAATCCCAAGGAAAGAACTTGGAAAACAAAGAATATTTCTGACTATGGGGCTCTTCCATAAGCCATAAACCCCAAAACCCAAAACCCAAAACCCTAAGCCCTCACAACCCAGATATGCCAAAGCCGATGAGACGCGCTAGGGCACGTCTAGGGTCCCCCTAGGATTCATGGGCAAACGCAACGCATTCCATGTGGGGAGATGACTGCTCAATTCTGGGCCTCTTGTTTGCCCTCTACTTCAAGGTCTTAGGGTTTAGGACTTAGATGCCATCCAGAGATCCGAAACAGAGCTCGCAATCATTGTCAGCCCTTGAACGGTTTGGGTTTTGGGTTTAAGGTTTAAGGTGTCGGTCTTAGCTCGGGGGTTGTAGGCTTTCGGGTTGAGGGTTCAGGGTTCAGGGCTAAAGCCCTAAAGCAACAAAGCTCCTAAACCCTAAACCCTAAACCCTAAACCCTAAACCCTAAACCCTAAACCCCTAAACCCTAAACCCTAAACCCTAAACCCTAAACCCTAAACCCTAAACCCTAAACCCTAAACAGTCCCTCGAGGGGCCGGAAGATATTGAAGCGCGCGCAGGCAGCGACCGCGCCCAAAACCTGGAAGTAGGGAAGTTTAGGATTTGCTTACGGCTTGGTGAGTTTTTTTTTTTTGTTTCTATGCTTTTTCTTTTAATGGGGGGATGGGATGTTTAAGGTCTCGGTTCAGGCTTCAGGGTTGAAGATACAAAGCCCCCACAAAAGAGTAGGCGGCAACCCCTCCTACTACAAGAGTATGTAGAGACAGCCTCAGGGCAGGGCTTAAGCCCCTTAAACCGTCAAACCCTAACCTTCCCCCCAAGCCCCTAAACCCGAAACCCTAAACCCCAAACTTCCCCCCAAGCCCTGCTGTGCTCGAAAAATGTGAGAGCCCCGACATGCCATGAACCGGAGAGAAATCAAGGATGATGGCTGTTGGGGGTTTCCCCCCCTCATGCTAACTAACAGTCCTGAATCGGGTTTAGGGTTGAGGGTTTAGGGCTTATAATTGGGGTCACAAAAATCACCCTTTAAGAACGGCTAGTATGAGGGGTAACAGTGCAAGATGATGGCTTGGTGCTTAGGGCGTAGGGCCGAGCACCCAAGATCCATGCGGGATTCACGTGGACTGGAGGCTCTCACACGTTGATCGTTGAGGGTGGGCGAGCAGATGGCGAACTCACCAGTTGCTGGCTTGGCCTTTAGGGGAATAGCCTACTCAGCAATTGCCCTGAACCGTAAACCCTAAACCCTAAACCCTAACCCTGCGTGCCCGGCAGCGAACACGACGAAGCCGAGGCAGGTGAGGTAGAAGGTGGCAACCAAAAGAAGCAGGTTGCCTCAGATGAGGTTTTATCCAAAGCTTGTTTTATGGACCCTTAAGGTGGTGTAAAGGGTTCTGAAGTACGGGCCCTCGGGTTGTGTAGGGTATATAAGGGGTATCTACCTCAACTAGGGTTTTTGGGATTCTCTTAGGGTAGCTTCATGGTGCCTTAGTATGGGCCCTTAGAAAGGGGATCCCCTTATATACCCCTTGAAGGGCCCATGAAACTACCCTTAGATTTAAGATTCAATAATGCGGCACCCTAAACCCTAAACCCTAAACCCTAACCCCTATACCCTAAACCCTAGACCTCTACACCCCTTAAAAACTCAAGTCGCTCGGCTGCGGGGTTCTTTAACCTCCGGCTTTTAACTGGTTCTTGGCTGGAACCCTAAACCCTAAACCCAAAACCCAAAACTCTAAGGCAAGAGGTGCTAGAGCCGTGTGATGTTGAGATTGGATTTTAGGGTTTAGGGTTTAGGGTTCAGGGTGTTGGTCTAGTGAGCCATGCCAGATTCTGGCAACTAGCTCCTCAACCTTGAAACTCTAAACCCTAAACCCTAAACCCCAGATGTTAAACAACAAACACGGCCGAGGGGCCCAGCGTGCCCAGGCCGTACCTTGCATGTCCACTGGCTTTTTAGGGTTTAGGGTTTAGGGTTTAGGGTTTAGGGTTTAGGGTTTAGGGTTTAGGGTTTAGGGTTTAGGGTTTAGGTAACTTTCCTCCTATACAGCACATGTCGAAATTGCGGCTTGGGGTTTCGGGTTTTCTAGGGGTCAAACCTAAAACCCTGAGCCCTGAACCCTAATTCCTAAACCCTAAAGCCTAAGTTCCGGGGGTCAAAACCTAAACCCTTAAAACCCAGAAAAGCTTGCCGACGCTGCTACCTAACTGGGTTGGCCTTAAAACCCTCTGAAAAATATCTATGTATATATAACATATATATATATATATATGTAGGGTCCCTTGTAAACCCAAATTAGGAAAATACCCTAAACCCTAAACCCTAAACCCTAAACCCCAAACCCCTAAATCCCTAAACCCTAGCTAAGGTACTTGCCGATGGTGTAGGCCATAGCGGCGAAGGCGCCCACAGGCGCCACTCCTGGGGCTCAGGTTTAGGGTTTAGGGTTTAGGGTTTAGGGTTTAGGGTTTAGGGTTTAGGGTTTAGGGTTTAGGGTTTAGGGTTTAGGGTTTAGGGTTTAGGGCAATTGAGAGTTTAGGGCCTCAGGATTTTGCATGAGCCAGCTCAAAGCCTCCAAACCCCCCAGCTCCGAAATCACTAAACCCTAAGCCCTAAACCCTAAACCCTAAACCCTAAACCCTAAACCCTAACCCTAAACCCGAAGCTTTAAAACCCTAGCCCAAGCCAGGCGTCTCATCACAATCGAGATGATATTGAAGAAGCAGTGGCCCAACTCCTCGATGCCGCTCAACACCTTGGCTCATCGGAAGGGGTTCAGGTAGGGTTTATGGGTTTAGGGCGTTAGGGTTTAGGAGTTTTGGGGTTATCGGCTTTGGGGCTTAGGCGGGTTTAGGGTTTAGGGCTTACAGGGTGTAGGGTTTAGGGCTTTCAGGGTTTAGGGGTTTAGGGCTTGCAGGGTTTAGGGGTTTAGGGTTTAGGGTTTAAGGTTTAGGGTCTTGGGGTTTCAGGGGTTCGGGGGTTGAACGTTTGAGGGCTTCTGGGCTTGAACGTTTGAGGGTTTTCGGGGGCGTAGTTGGAGGTTCGTAGACAGTCTAGGGCTTCAGACTTCCAGGCATTCCTCCAAACCAGCAACCAGCAATGGACACTTTCCTTCGCTGGTACAAAACAAGGTCGGGCCTGCCGTACTACAGCCCGCCCGACTCGACTGCACCGCCATGCTTGAAGGTTCATGGGTAGTTTAGAAGTAGGGTTCTACGTACCCTAAGTAGGCTTATAACTAGGTATACTTCTAGTTACCCTGCTTATAACCCCACATATAGCTACCCATGAACCTCCTAGTGTGGGCCTCTTTGCGCTATGGTCCCCTTTAGATTGCAAGGCTCAGTATGGCAATTCTGCATCAAAGTTAGGTCATTGATTCAACACCAACAGGGACCATAAGCTTGGGAACCTACGTGTCTATGCTAGCGCTCAGAGTTCACTCTTGACTCCCATGGCTTTGTCGCAGGTCCTCAGCTTCGCCACGTGGTCTTTCTCTGATTCGGAAAGCTTTTGGATCGACTTCTGCAGCTCCAAATTGCTCTTCTTGATCTCCTCTCGCAAGCTTCATGGTCTTTGAGGCAACCCTCATGCTGCTTCCTGGCATTCGCAATGCAAGCTGCATGTGCTCGCTCCGCAGCAGCCCTGCGATCGCTGTTGCCTTTTGCGCACTCCTGATCTGTGACGGTTGTGTATTTGGCACAAACCTTTATGCAATTCTTGTCCAGACCGAACAGGCCGCTTCTCCAACAGTCCCTTTTTTCAGAAGAGCAAACTTGTCGCAAACAATCCTTCATCTCAGGATCGTCCAGGGTGCAATGTCGCATTTGGCAATTTGCCTGCGGATACTCCTTGATCTGCCCTCGAAGTGCAGTCATAGAGTTGCGAAGGTTGTTCAGCTCATGGGGCAATGACTGGCACTTGGTCCTGCGAATCTCCTTCAGTCGAGTAGCCAGCTTGGTCACATCGCGGGCCTCCAGCAATTTATGGAGTTCGGCAGGAACCATGACCTGGTAGTCGACGGTGTACCGCGCAAGAAAGTCTTTGAGATCAAACTTGTCAAAGTGGATGACCTCGCTGATTGCCACTCCGTGCTGGCTGGCCAGCGCCTGAAACTCTGAGGGGTCTTTGACGCACTTGTTGCGCGGGGAGCCAGGATTGAAGATTGTGATGATTGGAACACCTTCACCTGTCATGTCCTTTGCCAGCTTCATCAAGTCCAGGGCTTCCTTTTTGGTACGTCGCTAAACAGGGCACCAGCCATGCCAATGCTTTGACCATGGTTTGGTTGATGGCAATCAGGCTCTTCTCGATTGCATCACGGGAGGCGGTCAGCGCATCTTCACCTGCAGGTTACGAAAACTTGGGACCCCTTTTCTACCCCAAATTAGAATAGAATCCCCTCAAAGGAACCCCCCAAAGGGGTATCCCAATTTTCGGAAACCCCTACCTGTTTCACCTGGCTTTGGCAGACGGTTGTCACCAAACCCTGGTGTCCCCACCATGTGCTTGCCGATGTACACGTCCCTTGTGTCCGACACTTCTGCAGAGATACGACTTCCTTTCTTGGCGTTCCTGCATGTCGAACCACCCTCAGCTGCCGAATGCACACAAAGAGCCATAGATCTTCTACAGCATACGGTCGAACATTCCTGCAAAACGCTGCTTGGAAAGCCGGGCATCATCGTATCGGTCACAAAACTCTGTTTTGCCATCACCCGTCCAGCCCAACAGGAAGAGCCTCCCGCCACCCTGACCCCAGGCCTCGTTAGCAAGGCCAAGGAACAGGGCCGCAAACAAAGCGGCCATGTGATGTTACTGAGAGCTGATGCGCACCCGCGGGCGTTGGAGCAAGAACTGGGGCTCCGTTCGCACAACAAAGTCAAGGCCCTTTTTGGGCGTATCCTGACATGAGGGACGACCATCGCGAAGAAGGCCAAGAACCATCTCCCTACTCCCGAAACCCATCTGAGCCCTGTAAAGTTTAACTACCCCTAAACCCTAAACCCTAAACCTAAACCCTAAACCCTGCAACCGGGTGGCCGATTTCGCCTTGTCTCCGGCAGACAGGAGCGCGAAGCCAAAGAGGATCGAGACAAAGAGCACCTCCGATGCGATGCTTAGCGTGTAGGGTGTAGGGTGTAGGGTTTAGGGTTTAGGGCTCAGGGTTTACGGATGCTTGAAGGTTCATGGGCAGATAGAAGCAGGGTTTTGTGTACCCTAAAAAAGGTTCTACCCAGCTATGACTATGGTTCCCTTTTACTTGCAACCTCACTTATAGAGTACCCTAGAACCTCCACGTGGGGTGTCATAAGATCCGGTAGCAGAGAGGTCCCCATGGCAGAAGCCACCTAGAGTAAGAGCCCAACTAATCAGGACCTCCACCAGAGTAAGAGCTTATCCGAACTTTACTGGGCTTTTTCTCCCAAAGGCCTAAACCCTAAACCCTAAACCCTAAACCCTAAACCCTAAACCCTAAACCCTAAACCCTAAACCCTAAACCGAGTTTAGGGTTTAGGGTGGAGGCTCGACGACCCCGAGCCTGCAGCACATCACCGTTCGCAAAGGGGCTGGCCACCTGAGAGCCACACACACACACCCAACAACAACAAAAAAACACTGAGGGTTTTAGGGTTTAGGGTTTAGGGTTGAGGGTTTAGGGCACAGGGTCAAACCCAACCGTCCATGTTCAAGCCTCTGTTCAAGAGAGAAGCCTCTGAATTTGGGGCGGGGCTCTACCATCATTTGCAGGCCTCTACTATAACAGAAATGCTCGCCGGTAACGGGGCTTGTAACGGAAACTGTAACGGAAAGGAGCGGAGCTGTAACGGATTAGTCGCGGAGCTGTAATGGAGCCATATCGGAAAGCTGCAACGGAGCGCTACCGGCTGTAGCGATGCTGTAACGGAGCCGTAGCAGAAGCAGCAGCGTGATAACGGACCTGTAACGGAGCTGTACAACTGAGCTGTAACGGGAGCTGTAGCAGAGCTGTAATGGAGGTGCAAAGGAGTTGTAACGGAGCTGCATGACTGAGCTGTAACGGAAGCTGTAACGGAGGTGCATCGGAGCTGTGATGCAGCTGTAACGGAGCCGTAACGGAAGCTGTAACGGAAGCTGTAACGGAGCTGTAACGGAGCTGTAACGGAAGCTGTAAAGGAGCTGTAACGGAGGTGCAAGGGAGCTGTAGCGGAGCTGTAACGGAGGTGCATCGGAGCTGTAACGGAGCTGCAACGGAATTGTAACGGAAGCTGTAATGGAGGTGTAACGGAGGTGCAACGGAGCTGTAACGGAGCTCTAGTGAAAGCTGTAGCGGAGATGCAACGGAGCTGTAACGGAACTGTAACGGAGCTGTAACGGAGGGCCCACGGTGGGTAGCGCAAATCCCATAGTAAATGATGGCAGAGCCCACCCCCAACTCTGAATCCTGAACCCTTCATCGTCGCCTGTGAAAACCCGCAAATATCTGCAACCAAACGCACATGTAAACCCTAAGCCCTGACACCCCTAAAAGCCCTAAAAGCCCTAAACCCGCCTAAGCCCTAAAAGGCATCAGGGTTTACTTTCCTTCGGTGGTTCGGGGAGCCTGGGGGTTTCTTGGAGGTTCATGGACATTCTAAGTGGGGGTTATAACTAGGGTTATAACTAGGGTCGCTCTCATCATAACTGGATTAATATAGCCTTATTTAGGGCATCTAGTCGAAAGGGATTCGGGTCAGGGTTGAAGGGTTAAACCCTAAACCCTAAGCCCTAAGCCCTAGGCCCTAGGCCGTAAGCCGTAAGCCGTAAGCCGTAAGCCCTGAGCCCTAAACCCTAAACCCTAAACCCTAAACCCTAAACCCTAAACCCTAAACCCTTAACCGGCTCTCAGAGTTTAGGGACCCTTCGTCTGAGCACTTTAACACAGGGCCACTGCACACCTCACCATTTCGGGCGTGATTAGGGTTTATTAGGATTTAAGGCTTCGGGATTAGGGTTTAGGATGGTTTAGGTTTTAGGGTTTCGGGCTTAGGACGGTTTAGGGTTTATTGGGACTTAAGGCTTCGGGTTTAGGGTTCAATCTGGCTTGAGGCGGACAAGGACACCTCCCATGCTTCAGTGGGAAGGTCTGTTCTGTGCCAGGGCTCGGTTGTTGGAATGATGTGCATGAGAAAGTGCATCGGGCTCTCGCCTGGGAGTGTTAGCTGAGGCCTAACAACCTCCAAAAGGGTTCAGGGCTTGGGGTTTGGGGCTTAACCCTGAAGCCCAAACCTCTAAAGCCTTACGCCCTAAACCCCGAAGTCCAGAAACTCAATACCCCAGAACCCTACTTGGAGGTTCATGGGTAGTCATAACTGGGGTGATAGGTAGGGTTACTGCAATGAGTACTGCTTATCACCCTAACCAACCCACCCTAAACCCCAAACCCCTACAACCCAAAACCCCAAACCGCCCTAAGCCCTGACCCTGAACCTTAAACGTCTACAACACTCAGGGCTACCGACCCATAAGCTGGGCAGGTTCAGCCACAGCCCTAATCCCTAAACCCTAAACCCTAAACCCTAAACCCTAAACCCTAAACCCTAAACCCTAAACCCTAAACCCTAAACTCTAAACCCTGCTGGGGACTAGGGTTCAAGGTTCAGGAGTCAGGATGCCCTGCTTGGGATTGGCATGTAAGGGGGGGAACCAGGGAACCCTAAACCCTAAACCCTAAACCCTAAACCCTAAACCCTAAACCCTAAACCCTAAACCCCTAAACCCTAAACCCATAACCTGAGACCATAAACCCTCACACCTAAGAACCCTTGGCCTCCAAACCCTAAACCCCAAAACCCAAAACAACGAAACCCCAAAACCCCAAAACCCTGAACCCCTAACCCTGAACCCTATACGCTCAAACCCTGAACCCAAGACTCTTAGGGTAGTTGCATGTTCCGTTAGTATGGGCCCTCATTTTGGGAACCCTTATGTACCCATTAAATGCCCCATACAGCCAAGGGCCCATGCTTCGGAACTGAGTTTAAAGGAAGGGAAGGGAAGGGACCATGTAATTTCCCTAAAACCCTAATTTGAAACCCTAAAACCGTCTAAACCCTACATTCCAAAAACTGTAAAGCCCCAAAACCCTGAACCCTAAAACCCTAAACCCCCAAAACCCCTAGACCCTCAAACCCCAAAACCCTAAAACTCTACAACCCTAAAACCCTAAACCTGAAACTAAACCTAAAACCCTAAAACCCTAAAAGCCTAAAACCCTAAAACCCCAAACCCTAAACCCCTGAACCCAAAACCTGAACCACTAAGACCCTAAACCCTGAACCCTAAACCCCTGAACCCTGAACCTCGCCCAACTGTAGGGGACCCGAAGTATGGGCCCTGAATTTGGGTCCCCTTACATGCACTTTGCATGATAAGGGCCCATACTTCGGATCCCTGAAAATCCCTTTAATAAATTAAGCACTTGTGTAAGGGACAACAACTAAGGGCCCATGGTATTCCAACCGTAGAAACTGGCTGGGGGGCTTTCAGCCTTCTCGACGTACTTCTCAATGGCCGATGCGTCCTCGGATGTCTCGGGAAACCGGGGCTTCAGGGCTTCGGGCTTGGGCTTTCGGGTTGAGGGGGTTTCAGGGTCTAGGGGGTTGTTAGGGATTAAAGGTTAAGCCTAAGATTTAGCGGCACACATCTCTAAGCACTAAACCAAAAATCCTCAATGCTAAGGTTTCGAGCCTGCGTTGCGGCTGTGGGTGGTTCAAGCAGCTCTTAGCTGAAGATCGGCCGAGCAGCGGGCTGCGCGTCAAAGTTCTTCCCGGGCTGGACGAGGTTACCCACCAGCAGACCCAAGCCGAGGGCGAAAGTAGAAATGGCTTCGAAGTAAAGCAGCGCCTCTTCTGGGTTCTCAAGGGGTTTAAGAAGAGAGGCCTCTCGGGAGGCTTGGGGGTTTAGGGGTTCTTTGGGGGTTTAGGGTTTAGGGTTTTTTTGAAGTGTTGACGTTTAGGGTTTAGATCTTAATCGGTATACTGAAAAGTGGATGATCTTGGTGGAGGCTTGGAGTATTGCGGCCGGGGGGAGGAGTGGGTCCCTGGGTTTAGGCCTTTCAGGTTAAGTTCTTTCCATGAGAGGTTTGATGTTTAGGCTTGCGCCCCCAAGCCCTGAACCCTTCCCCCCCCCCCCCCCCCCAAAAAAAAAACAAACACAGGGTTTAGGGTCTGGGGTTTAGGGCTTCGGGTTTCGG